GTAATGAGACCAAACTAACAAAACAACGTCTCCTCAGTTCCATATGCGTAGAAAGAAGGCAAATAAGCTTTGATTGGGCTTATTTCAATTCCCATGGTGTTTTTTGGGTGTGCACCAGAATCACTCCTAACAGAGGCAAAACGGTGTTTTGGGTTCCATCTACATAAAAAGAAGATAATAACGCTCTGATTGGGCTTATTTAAAATTGGTGTTTTGGGGGTTGGAATGCACATTCAAACAAAAATCGCAGTGAAATCTTTGTTATCAGCCCAATTCAAGTATTGGTATTTTGGTTCCATCTCCATAGAAAGAGGACGAATAAGCTTGGATTGTTCTTTCAGTGTTCATTCACTGACAAATGGTAAAGCGAAGTGTAATAAGTCTAAACAAAGTTAAACAGATAGATTTAGGTTCCATCTACAAAGAAGAATCTTGGATTTTACTTATTTCGTGTTCTTTGGTATTAATGCACATTGACCCAGATATCGCAAAATGTATATAATGAGATCTAAATAACAAAACAACGTCTTTTCACTTTCATATGGGTACAAAGAAGACGAATTAGCTTTGATTGGGCTTATTTCAATTTGCATGGTGTTTTTTGGGTGTGCACCAGAATCACTCCTAACAGAAGCAAAACGGTGTTTTGGGTTCCATCTACATAAAAAGAAGATAATAACGCTCTGATTGGGATTATTTAAAATTCGTGTTTTTGGGGTTCGCACATTCAACCAAAAATAGCAGAGTGAAATGTTTGTTTTCAGCCCAGATCAAGCATAGGTGCTTTGGTTCCATCTCAATAGAAAGAGGACATATAACCTTGGAATCGTTCTTTCAGTGTTCATTCACCCACAAATAGCAAAGCGAAGTGTAATAAGTCTAAACAAAGTAAAACAAATAGATTTGGGTTCCAACTACATAGAAAGGAAAATCTTGGATTTCGCTTATTTCAATGCGTGTTCTATGGTGTTAATGCACATTGACCCAAAAATCGCAAAGTGTATGTAATGAGAGCAAAATACCAAAACACCGTCTTTTCCCTTCCATATGTGTAGAAAGAAGACGAATAAGCTTTGATTGGGCTTATTTCAATTCGCATGGTGTTTTTTGAGTGTGCACCAGAATCATCCCCACAAAGCAAAAAGGTGTTTTGGGTTCCAACTAAAAAAAGAGAAGATGATCCAGCTCTGATTGGGCTTATTTCAAACTCGTGTTTTTGGGGTTAGAATGCACATTCACCCAAAAATCGCAGAAATGTTTGTTAGCCCAAATCAAGCATAGGGGTTTTGGTTCCATCTCTATTGAAAAAGCACGAATAAGCATTGATTGTTCTTTCGGTGTTCATTCTCGGACAAATGGCAAAGCAAAGTGTAATAAGTCAAAACAAAGCAAAACAGGTTGTTTTGGGTTCCTACATACAAAGAAGAATCTTGGATTTCGCTTATTTCGTCGTGTTCTATGGACCCCATAAATAGCAAAGTGTATGTAATGAGACCAAACTAACAAAACAACGTCTCTTCACTTCCATATACGTAGAAAGAAGGCAAATAAGCTTTGATTGGGCTTATTTCAATTCCCATGGTGTTTTTTGGGTGTGCACCAGAATCACTCCTAACAGAAGTAAAACGGTGTTTTGGGTTCCATCTACATAAAAAGAAGATAATAACGCTCTGATTGGGCTTATTTAAAATTGGTGTTTTTGGGGTTGGAATGCACATTCAAACAAAAATCGCAGTGAAATCTTTGTTATCAGCCCAATTCAAGTATTGGTATTTTGGTTGCATCTCCATAGAAAGAGGACGAATAAGCTTGGATTGTTCTTTCAGTGTTCATTCACTGATAAATAGCAAAGCGAAGTGTAATAAGTCTAAACAAAGCAAAACAGATAGATTTGGGTTCCATCTACATAGAAAGAAGAATCTTGGATTTTTCTTATTTCGTGTTCTTTGGTGTTAATGCACATTGACCCAGAAATGGCAAAATGTATATAATGAAACCTAAATAACAAAACAACGTCTTTTCACTTCCATATACGTAGAAAGAAGGCAAATAAGCTTTGATTGGGCTTATTTCAATTCCCATGGTGTTCTTTGGGTGTGCACCAGAATCACTCCTAACAGAAGCAAAACGGTGTTTTGGGTTCCATCTACATAAAAAGAAGAATAACGCTCTGATTGGTCTTATTTAAAATTGGTGTTTTTGGGGTTGGAATGCACATTCAACCAAAAATAGCAATGTTTGTTTTCAGCCCAAATCAAGCATAGGTGCTTTGGTTCCATCTCAATAGAAAGAGGACATATAACCTTGGAATCGTTCTTTCAGTGTTCATTCACCCACAAATAGCAAAGCGAAGTATAATAAGCCTAAACGAAGCAAAACAGATTGTTTTGGGTTCCAACTACATAGAAAGGAAAATCTTGGATTTCGCTTATTTCGTGTTCTATGGTGTTAATGCACATTGACCCAAAAATCGCAAAGTGAGAGCAAAATACCAAAACACCGTCTTTTCGCTTCCATATGTGTAGAAAGAAGACGAATAAGCTTTAATTGGGATTATTTCAATTCGCATGATGTTTTTTGAGTGTGCACCAGAATCATCCCCAAACAAAGCAAAAAGGTGTTTTGGGTTCTGTCAAGGCTGCCTCAAGTCTTAGCTCACAAAAGACCAACGCCTACGTCTTCTTGTATACAAAGGTGTTTATTGCAGTTCATGGTTTGCTTGACATCCTAGGCGCGCAGCCTTACGTCTCTTACGCTAGACCGCCGAAGTCCCCTCTGAGTCAGTCCCTCCTCTGCACCAATTTAAGAGACTTGCGCTGCTCCACCTCTTTCTCTCCTTCCTTTTCCGCAGGGTCCTTCTGCCCCCTGGGGTTGCGCCCCTTCTGGATTCCTCTGACGCAGAATCAGACTGCTCTTCCCCCCCTCCTGCGGGCTTTGGGACCTGGCCCCCTCCTCCGGACTCCCTGCACTTCCGCGCGCCTCTACATTTGAACTAGGCGCGCGCGCCAACCTCTAACTTTCCTTTTGACAGTTACACTACTCCCTTCACTGCTCCCCTCCCCTTCCGGGAGGGCGGCTTGCTCTGACCCCCTTCCTTTCTCTGCTGCTGGAGCTGCTTCCTCTGACACACTGGAAACTCCACCCCCTTCACTGCACTTTCGTGGGGAGGCTAGTCCTGACGCCCAGCTGCCACTTTGGGATCCTCCGCTGGCACCCTGCTCCTGACACTTCCCCCCTGGGGCTCCCCTGGCCCTGACCACCGGCGCCCCCTTCTGGGAATCCTCTGATTCGCTGGAAAGACTCATGGAATCCCTTGAGTCATTGTCATCCTCTTCCTCGCTGGCTTGGAATTCCTCCCCCTCGCTCTCCATCTCCTGCCTACCCTGTGCCTCTCTCTCTGAACCCCTGACAGGTTCCAACTAAAAAAAAAGAAGATGATCCAGCTCTGATTGGGCTTATTTCAAACTCGTGTTTTTGGGGTTAGAATGCACATTCACCCAAAAATCGCAGAAATGTTTGTTAGCCCAAACCAAGCATAGGGGTTTTGGTTCCATCTCTATTGAAAAAGCACGAATAAGCATTGATTGTTCTTTCGGTGTTCATTCTCGGACAAATGGCAAAGCAAAGTGTAATAAGTCAAAACAAAGCAAAACAGGTTGTTTTGGGTTCCTACATACAAAGAAGAATCTTGGATTTCGCTTATTTCGTCGTGTTCTATGGACCCCATAAATAGCAAAGTGTATGTAATGAGACCAAACTAACAAAACAACGTCTCTTCACTTCCATATACGTAGAAAGAAGGCAAATAAGCTTTGATTGGGCTTATTTCAATTCCCATGGTGTTTTTTGGGTGTGCACCAGAATCACTCCTGTCAGAGCTGGCTCCAGGTCCCAGCTCACAGAGGACCAACGCTAGCCGGCAGTAATGTACAAAAGTCTTTATTGAAGTACAGTTTCCATTTTCAAGCCGGAGCGCCCCAGCTCTACGTCTAGGGGTTAGATCGGCGAAGCTCCATCTGAGTCTCCGCCCCCTGTACACCAGTTTAAGATTCTAGCCTTACTCCACCTCTTACGTCTCTCCTTTCTCCTCTGGGTCCTGCTACCCCCCGGGGTCCCTTCCTTCCTGGATTCTTCTGGCGCTGACCCCCTGACTCCTCCCCCTCTTTTCGGCGGGCTTTGGGACCTGGCTCCCTATCCGGGCTGCCAACTGCGCCGCCCTCCTGTACATTTGAACTTGGCGCGCGCGCCCAGCCTTCAACCTTCCTCTCGACCGTTTCCTCGCTCCCCGATGGGGCGTGGCCAATCCTGACTCATGTCCTCCCACTGGCAGTGCGCCGCCTGATCCCGATGCCTGGGACTCCTCCCCCCTACTGCACTCTGGTGTGGACGCTGGTCCTGATTTCCAACTGCTGCTCTCTGAGTCCCCTCTGGCCCCTTCTTCCTGGGGTGTCCCCTCGGCACCCCATTGCTCTGACCAAGGGAGCCCCTTTCTGTGAATCTTCCGATTCGCTGGAAAGACTCAGAGACCTCGGACCGCTGTCATCGCTAACATTTCCTTCGGACTCCTCCCCCTCGCTCTCTATTTCCTCCCTTTCCTGTGCCTCTGCTCCTGAACCCCTGACATCCATCCCCCCCTCGAAGCCCCCCCTTCCCCCCACCCCTCCTTCAGGTGTGGGTACTGGGTGCTCCGTCGTTGTGGGGGTGAGTGCCGGATACAGTTCGTCCCCCGTGGCGTGCATCCAGCCGGATAAGTCCGGCTCGTCCTCCGTGCTCTCGCCGACCTCAATTTCCTCTGCTTCCATCTCTTTGCCGCCGTGCTCGGAGCCCAAGGTCCTCCCCCAACACGTCCATGTCCGTCTCTCCCCGGTCTCCTCCGGGGGCGTTGCCTGCCAAGGACCCCCCAACCACTTCCTGCGCCACTGCTCCTCTGGTTGATTGTCCCACCAATAGGAACGGTCTGAGGCAGACCCGAGGGTGATCCCTCCGGGAACGTGTTTCTAGTGCCGGTTCCTCGTCCGAGGTGAACCCCTGGAATGTGCTAGCTGAAAATGTGGGTGTGAAAAGCCAGTCGTCGAAATACTCGGCTGGCATGGGCCTGTGTGGGAAAAGTGCATGGAACTCGTCCTTAAGCCAAGATTCCTCCAGAGCATAATCTGGCACCCAACTGTTGGCGCTAGCCGGGGTACCTTCCTTGGCGAGGAGGTATTCCACTCCCTCCTCCCCCCATCTCGAGTCTAAAATCTCTGTGACTTCGTTGACGGGTTCCCGCCTTGGCGACCCCCCCCTTGTGGGCGTTTCCCTGAACGGGTCTGGTGCCGTTCCTGGCTCCTGAAATCTATGAGGTGCTTTGTAGGGCGTGAGCACTGATCTATGGAAAACTGGGTGCATTCTGGATCCCTCCGGCAGTGTCAACCGGAAGGCCACTGGATTGACCTGTGCCTCGACTTGGTAGGGTCCTAGCTGCTTATGCCCTAGCTTCTTCTTCGCTAACGATCTGGCCGGCACTGCCTGGGCTGCTAACCAAACCCAGTCTCCCACCTGTATGTCTTCCCCAACCCTTCTGTGCTTGTCAGCCTGCAGTTTGTATGCGTGCTTTGCTAGTTCTAACTGCCTCCGAAGCTGTTCGTGAACCTCCTGCAACTCTGATGCTAAGGCTTCCGCTGCCTGTGGCTCCCCCTCCCCCGCTCTCGCTAATCCCGGGAAGGTTCTGGGATGCCTCCCGTTGTTGGCGAAGAACGGTGTCACCCCCGTGGACACGTGCTTCGTGTTGTTGTAGGCGAACTCAGCGAGCGGCAGGTAGTCCACCCATGTTGCCGGCTGCTGATTTGCGTAGCATCGCAGGTACTGCTGCATGATGGCGTTGACTCGCTCCGCTTGTCCGTTCGTCTGCGGGTGTCTCGCCGACGCTAGGTTGATCTTGACGTTCAGGAAACCCATCAGCTTCTGCCAGAAGTTCGAGATGAACTGTCGCCCCGGTCGGACAGGATGGACCGTGGCAGACCGTGAACCCTGAACACGTGGTCTATGAACAGTTTGGCGGTCTGTTCCGCCGTGGCCACCTTCGCGCACGGAATGAAGTGGGCCATTTTGGTGAACATGTCCACCACCACTAGCACTGCCGTCTTGCCCCTCGAGCTGGGTAGATCCGTGACAAAGTCCAGGGCCACCCTCTCCCACGGTTCGAGCGGTGTCTGCAGCGGTTCGAGCAGTCCCGCCGGCGGTTTGTGCACTGACTTGGCCCTTTGGCAGGTGTCGCACCTCGAGGCGTAATCCGCGACTTCCCCCGCATCTTGGGCCACCAAAAATCTCTGGCTACTAATTCTACCGTCTTCTCTTTGCCAAAGTGCCCGGCGGTGGGTGCGTCGTGCAACTGCTGCAGTACTTTCGCGCGGAGGTCGTCTCCCGGTACGTAGAGGGCCCCTCTGCGGATGAGCAATCCGTCGCGTATCTGGAACTCGTCGTCCTCCGCCGTGCCCCTTTGCACCTCTGCCATCTTTGCTTGCGCGAAGGGGTCCTCCTGCAGTGCTCGGCGTACAGCATCCAGGTCCACGGTTGCTGAAGCGCACGCCCACGCTTTCGGTGCGAAAATGTGCTTGGCCGCTGCTGGTGCCGCCTCCTCGAGGTATTGCGGCTTTCTGGACAGTGCATCCGCCATGATGTTGTTGTCGCCTGGGATGTACTCTATCCTGAAGTCGAAATCCGCAAAGAACTCCGCCCATCGTATGTGCCTCTGGTTCAGGAACCTTGCCGTGCGCCAGTACTCCAGGTTTTATGGTCCGTGCGGACCTGCACTGTGTGTTTGGCTCCAATGAGGAAGTGCCGCCACGCCTTGAATGCTGCATGAATGGCCAGCAACTCCCTGTCCCAGATGGTGTAGTTCTGCTCTGACTTGCTGAGCTTCCTGGAGTAGAAGGCACACGGTCTCCAGTCCCCATGCGGGTCTTGCTGCAACAGTACTGCTCCCACGGCTCTGTCTGAGGCGTCCGTTTCAACCCTCATCGGTCTGCTGGGATTCACATGCAGTAGCTGCTCTTCGGACGAGAAGAGACGGTTGAGTTTCTGAAAGGACTGCTCCGCTTGCTCCGTCCAGATGAACTTCTTCTTCTTGGAGCTGAGCGTGTCGGTAATGGCCGCCGTCTGCATCGCGAACCCCTTGATGAACTTGCGGTAAAAGTTGGCGAAACCGACAAACCGCTGGACCTCCTTCCGATTGCGCGGGCTCTTCCAGTCCAACACTGAGCGAACCTTGGCGCTGTCCATGGCGAGCCCCTTGTCCGACAACTTGTAGCCCAGGAAATCTACCTCCTTCATGTCGAACTGGCACTTCTCCAGCTTGGCGTACAGCCTGTGCTCCTGCAGTCTCTGCAGAACTTCCTTGACGTCTCCCTCGTGGGTCTCCTCTGATTCTGAAAATATCAGGATGTCGTCCAGGAAGCAGACGCATTTCTTGTAGAGGAGACCCGCCAATACGTGATGCATGAAGGCTTGAAAACAGTGGGAGCCATTTTGTAATCCAAAGGGCATAACTCTGTATTCATAGGTGCCCAGGGGCGTGAACATGGCAGTCTTCCATTCGTCGCCCTCCCGTATGCGAATCAGGTTGTACGCCCCTCGCAGATCCAACTTTGTGAAACGCGTCCTTTCCTCACCGTTGCGAGCAGGTCATCTATCTTGGGCATGGGAAAGGCTGTGGGCTTGGTTTTCGAGTTCAAAATTCTATAGTCCACCACAAGCCTTTTTTGGGGCGTGTCCTTCTTCTTCACAAAGAATACAGGACTGCCCCCCACTGCCTTCGACTCCTGGATGAAACCGCGCTTCAAGTTGAGGTCTATGAACTCCCTGAGTTCCTGCAGCTCGTCTTCAGACATGGAATACAGTTTCCCGGTTGGCAGCGTCGCCCCTGGCAGGAGGTCAATCTTGCAGTCATAAGACCTGTGGGGAGGTAGCTTGTCCGCTTCCTTCTCGCAGAAAACCTCCAAAAACGCTGCGTACTTGAGTGGCACTGCTTGCAGCGTGCCTAATTGTAGCTGCGGGTCATCCTCTTCCCCTTCCGGGCTAGGCAGAATGCAATGTTCCGCACAGTATGAGGAGCCGAAGGTCAGTTGTCGCTGGTACCACGCCAATGCTGGGCTGTGCCTGTGCAGCCAACTCATGCCTAATACTATAGGCGTGTCCGACAGTTGGGTGACATTGAAGCTGATGACTTCTCGGTGATTCCCAATTTGCATCACCATCGGAGGCGTTTGCTGCACCACCTGCCCCCAGCAATTCCCTGCCATCCACCGTGACAACTTTCAGAGGCAGCGTGGCTGGCAGGAGTGCTATGTTGTGCTCTTGAAGGAAATCCAGTCCTATGAAGTCTGCGTTACTACCAGAGTCAATGGTAATCGGCACTTCCATAGTGAGTCCATTGGGTAGTTGGAGCGATGCTGTGAGCTGCACCACTGGTTTGGGCGGGAGGGGTCTGTGGGCTGCAAAATCTCTGGGGACGGCTTCATTGACTTGTCTGGTTGGGCCCCAGTGCCTCTTCCTCCAACCAGACTCTGTCGTTTCCCTGCTGTGGTTCTCTCTGCTGAGTTGCTTCTGTTACTGTTGCTGAGGCTGCAGTGTGCTTGTGGAGCCTCTGGGGACACTCTTTCGCCATGTGCTGAGCACTGTCGCAGATGTAGCACTTCCTGTTCCCTCTAGGAGGCTTCGCTTTGACTGCTCCCGGTGTTAAGGCTCTGGTTGCTGACTGAGCCCTGGCGCCTCCAATCTCCATCGGTTGCTCTCCCCCTCCTTGCGGAGGTGGGGATTGCACACGCGCTGCATCCTTGGGAAGAGGGGAGGTGCTCTCACTGGCGTACGTCCCCAACGTCCTTCTTCTCTGTTCCATGGACGTTCTTCCAGACGCACCCCAATTTGCAGCGCCCGCCGGACAACCTCCTGAGTGCTCTTTGGTCTCTCCCCCCTTGCAATCTCATCTTTCACATTTGCATTCAAGCCTTCCCAAAAAAGGTCTCTGGCTGGGGCAGAATCCTTCTCCCATCCCAGCGCATGGACTAATGCAAAAAAGCGGGAATGGTACTGCCTTACACTGGCTCTGCCTTGTTTGAGCCCATGTATGTCTTTTCTGGCGATATCAATGTCTATATTTGATAAAAAACACGAATCCATCGCTTTAATGAATGCATCCGCATTTTGGAGCGCCGGATCCATATCTCTCCACAGATTGCGCAGCCACGCTTTAGCTTCCCCATGCAAATGGGACAAGATAAACCCCACCTTCTCTTGCTCATCTCTAAAGTCTTTATCCAGCAGTTCCAGCGCAAACAGCACGTCTGCTCGGAAGTTAGGGTACTGCTGCAAATTCCCATCGAAATGAGATACCAGGCTGCCTCCTCTTTTCCCCAGCCCAATCCCCTCTGATTTGGGTCCCGGTTGCCCCTGCTTAGCAAGCACTTCCAACCTGGCTTGGAGATCCCTGCAGGCGGCAGCCGCTTCCTCTTCCCTTTTCCTGGATGCGAGTACCTCCGCGTTGAGTTGTGTCACTGCATTTTGCAGGGCTGCTAGTTGCTGTTCTGTAGTCATCTTGCCTGACTTTTGTGAGCTCGCGAAGCACCAATCTTCTTCCCTCGCTGCGTCCACTCACGTTACGAGGTTTTTGGTGCAAAACTTTTGGAGATGGAGCTTACTGTCAGAGCTGGCTCCAGGTCCCAGCTCACAGAGGACCAACGCTAGCCGGCAGTAATGTACAAAAGTCTTTATTGAAGTACAGTTTCCATTTTCAAGCCGGAGCGCCCCAGCTCTACGTCTAGGGGTTAGATCGGCGAAGCTCCATCTGAGTCTCCGCCCCCTGTACACCAGTTTAAGATTCTAGCCTTACTCCACCTCTTACGTCTCTCCTTTCTCCTCTGGGTCCTGCTACCCCCCGGGGTCCCTTCCTTCCTGGATTCTTCTGACGCTGAACCCCTGACTCCTCCCCCTCTTTTCGGCGGGCTTTGGGACCTGGCTCCCTATCCGGGCTGCCAACTGCGCCGCCCTCCTGTACATTTGAACTTGGCGCGCGCGCCCAGCCTTCAACCTTCCTCTCGACCGTTTCCTCGCTCCCCGATGGAGGCGTGGCCAATCCTGACTCATGTCCTCCCACTGGCAGTGCGCCGCCTGATCCCGATGCCTGGGACTCCTCCCCCCTACTGCACTCTGGTGTGGACGCTGGTCCTGATTTCCAACTGCTGCTCTCTGAGTCCCCTCTGGCCCCTTCTTCCTGGGGTGTCCCCCTCGGCACCCCCTTGCTCTGACCAAGGGAGCCCCTTTCTGTGAATCTTCCGATTCGCTGGAAAGACTCAGAGACCTCGGACCGCTGTCATCGCTAACATTTCCTTCGGACTCCTCCCCCTCGCTCTCTATTTCCTCCCTTTCCTGTGCCTCTGCTCCTGAACCCCTGACAACTCCTAACAGAAGTAAAACGGTGTTTTGGGTTCCATCTACATAAAAAGAAGATAATAACGCTCTGATTGGGCTTATTTAAAATTGGTGTTTTTGGGGTTGGAATGCACATTCAAACAAAAATCGCAGTGAAATCTTTATCAGCCCAATTCAAGTATTGGTATTTTGGTTGCATCTCCATAGAAAGAGGACGAGTAAGCTTGGATTGTTCTTTCAGTGTTCATTCACTGATAAATAGCAAAGCGAAGTGTAATAAGTCTAAACAAAGCAAAACAGATAGATTTGGGTTCCATCTACATAGAAAGAAGAATCTTGGATTTTTCTTATTTCGTGTTCTTTGGTGTTAATGCACATTGACCCAGAAATGGCAAAATGTATATAATGAAACCTAAATAACAAAACAACGTCTTTTCACTTTCATATGTGTAGAAAGAAGACGAATAAGCTTTGATTGGGCTTATTTCAATTCGCATGGTGTTTTTTGAGTGTGCACCAGAATCATC